CTGTGTGTGCCGAGGCGCCGGGGCCTTGACCAGGGTTGGTGGGCAGTGCCCCCGACAGGCCTCAGGCTGGCCCTCATACCGGGGAGCACGCCCCCCCCAGCTGCCCCCAGACAGGGCCTTGCTGCCTGGGTGGCGCTGTAACCACTGTGTCCGGCGCGCTCCCGGCACTGTCTGTCCCAGCGTCAGGTAGTGAGGACAGCGCCGTCGTCAGGGGCTCATTGGGGCTGAACGGAGCCGTGTAACGTAGTCAGTGGGTTTCTGGTGGGCGCGGGGAGGAAGGGCAGCTGCCCTCAGGCCCCAGCTGCTGGCTCCACGCCGGGGGCCCAGGTGCCCGGCCGCTGCAGCCGGCCTGCTCTGCCCGTGTGGAGGGCCTGATGCAGTCACCACCTGCCCTCCCCACACCCAGCCTTTCTCTCACTTGGGGACAGGAGGCAGAGCCTGTGGCCTGGCCAGGGCCATCCCTAGGGGCCCAGTGGCAGGGGTCACGCTCTCGGGGAAACAGCAGCACAGGAAGCCCCGCTGGCGTCCGCTGGAGAGCAACGCGGTCCGCGGGGTCCCCACACTCCTCTCGGCCAGTTGACACCTCCCCTGCGTGGCTCTCAGGCGCTGCAGGGCTAGCGTGGCCGCCGTGAACTCCCAGACAGTGGGCCACGGCATACGGCTCAGCACGGCCAAACTCCAGGCACTGACAGCTCCCTGGCTCGGGCTGTCCTGAGCAGCTACCCCCATGCTGCCCTCGGGCCTGCTGTCAGGGATGGCAGCCCCGCCCGGCCATCGGCCATCGGCCATCAGGAGGCAATGCCAGCTCCCTGGCCTGCGTCCTGGTGCCCCTCAGGGCAATTAGGACTCCGGAGGGAGTGCAGAGGGTGCAGGAGGGATAGGCAGGCCTCGCAGCCTCAGGGGCCACTGTGGGTTGTGAAAGGTGCGTAGGTGCCGGCAGGAGTCGTCGGCTCTGGGTTAGAGTCCAGGCACCAGGCTCCTGTCCGGGCCAGAGGGCGAGGGCCGCGTTGCCACGTGTCCTTGGCCGTGACAGCTGGCACCCAGCATCGCCAGGGTCAGTCCTCTCCTGGCTCCCGTGGACACCTCCCCGCCCACCCTCAGGGAGCTGTCCCCCAGCTGCATCTGCCGGGTGTGGGTACTTGCCCTGCAGCCCTCGGACCCTGAGGGCCCTCTGTCCTCCTCGGCCTCCCAGCCCCCTCCCGTCGGCTGATGCAGCTGGTGAACCCGTTTGGGGTCCCCTCCCTCCACCTGCGGGGTCTGCAGGAGCCTGTGGCCCAGGCTGCGCTGCCGCCTGCATTAGCAGTTTGCGTGGACTCCCGTCTCAGCTGGGGCGGACGCTCGTCTCCTAGAAAAGCAGACGGTTGGCTCCGAGTGGCTTTGTCAATAAAAGATGAGCCCAGAAAGGCTTCCCTTCAGAGGGCGCCGCCCGGGAGCCCGGGTTCTGGAGGCCCTGCCTTCCAGGAGTGAAGGATGCTCACCATGTGGGGCAGGGGGTGGGGGGGGAGCTAACGCCTTCCTCATGCACCTGGGGCCACCTGCCTCCCCTCCTGGGCCAGTTAGCCAGGGCCCCGCGCCCTCCCCTGTGCTGCCCCCTCAGCCCACAGCCACCTGCTGGGGTGGGTGCGAAAGAAGGTGCCGGAAGCGGGGCCCAGCGTGGGTCCTGTGCACATCGCGGGTACGCGTGTGGCGCGGTCGAGTGCCGGCTCCTGGTGGGTCTGGCTCCGTGGTGTGCAGTGGCCCAGGCAGCTGGCTCCTGGCTCTCGCCCCGTCCGTGAGGGGAACAGGGCGGTACTCCTTCATCAGTGGGCGCTACGTGAAAAGTGAGTTACACATCACTGAACGAGCCTTCCCGGGTCCGACCATGGGGGCCAGCCGTGGGCCACGCAGCCCAGTCTCACTCTCATGGAAGCCAGACAAGCAGAGTGGAGTGGCCCCTGGTCCGAGGAGGGGCATGCTGTGAGGACATCGCCCTTGGGGTGCAGGGCCCCGTGGAGCTGGTCGGCCAGCCTGTCGGGTGGGCGGTGTGCCTGGCTGGTCCTCCCAGCAGGTCTCATGCCCCGTGGCCTGGGGGACTGCCCCTCCTGGCGGCCTCGCCTCTGTGCCTGGCTCTCACTCCCTGGCTGGTGACACCACCTCTGGGCCTGTCCCCACGTGTCAGAGGCCCAGTGAGGGCAGGGGTGGCTTCCACTCGGGCTCAGCTGGCCCCTCACTCCCGAAGGGCCGAGGCTGGGAGCCGGCACTTTAGGCTCACGAACCCCCATCCACGGGGCTTCGGCGCTCTGTTCTGAGCAGGGAGGGAGCCCCCCGAGAACAAGATGCGGCACCAGTGCCCGCCTGTCGCCCCAGGACCTCCCCCCGTAACCGGGGCTATAATTGCTGGTGCCCTTGCAGATCGCTTTTGTGCAAGGTGACAGGCTGTTTGCTGAGGGAGCATTAATCACACACATGCCCCGTGTGGGTGCCGGCACCAAGCCACCAGGCACACGCGCCATCATCTGCGTGTAATTCCAGGGCGAGTGGCTCTCGGGTGTGAAACGTGCAATTTCCGGCCCAGCAGGGAGCACGGGCTCATGTGGAGACGGGGGCCCAGGGCGGGGCTGCCGGCAGCTCAGG